GTTAAATATTCGAACGATGTGACCATAACATTAAAACTAAACTTTATAGATTTCTAAAATTAAAAAGTTGAAAAAAGGCCCACATAATAGACATCTTCAAAATAAATATTGTTTATTAAATACACAAACAAAAGACTAAAGACACACGCATTTATTACCAAAAAAAATTACAGACTTCAAACTCTTAACAAGATCGAATTAATCAAATTAAATGAATCTGAATAGAAATAAACCACAAAAAAATAAACCAATTTAAATTGTGCTAAACCCCAAAACAAAAGATTTATTAAAGATTCTTTACTATTTAATTAACAAAAAGAACCCACATAAAATCAAATCGAATAAAAAAGTAAGTACCCTACCCTATTTATCTCTTCACAGCAACCAAAAATAACCTTCATATACATTGACAATATGATTAAACTATAAAATTTCAATCAATATCAAAACCCTTCCATTTACAGCTAGTTTTAAGAACAACTTTCATTACTTTAACCCAAAAAAAAAACCGCAAACAATAAAAGAAACCTTCAAAGTTCTGAAGGGCCTCTAGTTAAAAGAATTATTTTTACAATAAATTCATAATTTTTCAATAAAAAACAACTAACTGGCCTATATACACAAATGTATGGACTATGGTAAACTATAAAAATTTAATACCTTATGAAAAGAATATTTTATGAAAATAATAATTCAATAATATAATAAAAGAAGAAGACAAAAACCAATTACTTGACAGTTTCTTTGTGTTTGTGATTTGTCATTTTTTTTTTCTTGTATTTGAGTTTTGTATTTTGATGATAATTTTTACGGAACTAATGTTGTAAACAAAAGAATAATGATCGATAAATGTTTTATTTGGAGACACCATCTGTCGTGTTTAGTTTTGGTAGCATAATGGTAAATAATAGGCTATTGTAGCAGAGTAGGGTGTAGGTTAGACTTGTTTAAGAGGGGGAGATAAGTTGGGGAAAAATTTACACTTCATAAAAGAGAAAAAAATAAATTTGATTATCTGGTGATTGATTTATTTAACAAACAAAACTTGGTTCTAATTTTATTTTTTATTGAAAAATTTTTATAAAAAAAAACTTTCTGAATTTTTTTACTAAAGTCTTAATAAAAGCTTTTCACCAAGAAGTATTTATCTATACATTTGAACATTTTCATTATGTTTATATTACCCTACACCACTTTAGTGGGGGAGGGTATATTGGATTTGTGCTGATGTTTGTAACATACAAAAATATTCGTCCCTAGACCCACCTTAAAGTATACCAATCGGCTTAGAATCGTTTTCTGAGTCGATTAAGCTATGTCCGTCCGTCCGTCCGTCCGTCCGTCTGGCTGGCTGGCTGGCTGGCTGTCCATGTAAACCTTGTGCGCAAGGTACAGGTCGCAATTTTCAAGATAATTGGATGAAATTTGGCACGCACGTTTTTATTTGACCTAAGGACGAAGCCTATTGAAAATGGTTTTAAAATCGGTCCATTATTTCACCTAGCCCCCATAGAACAGAACCCCCCGAAAAGGGCTTCTGAGCTCATAATTATGTTAAATATACAGATATATCGGTAAAATACGGCACAACCTAAGTTTTATAGAAGTCTTGATGACCCTGCCAAATTTCATTAAGATCGGGCCACATTTGACCCTTGCTCCCATACAAAGTCCCCTTCAGAAAATTACTTGAATGTCCCAAATTAGCTTCTAAACACAAATATAGCGATGAAATTCAGCACAATAAAATATTATGTCAATATAAATATATTCACAAATTTTATCGGGCTTGGTCCATATTTGCCCCTAGCCCCCATATAAAGCCTCTTTCAGAAAATTAGTTTTTCATCCATAAATTGCTTTAAATGTATCGGAACAAGGGAATATTGAAGATAAATGCTTTATTATGAAAAATAAATCACATTTAATATTCATAACTGGTGTAGGGTATCATATGGTCGGCCCCGCCCCGACTATAATTTCTTACTTGTTTTTTGTTGACAACATTCATCACAAACATTTCTCTTCGACATTTTCGCCAAAAAAGCTTTGCAAGAAAGCTTTTCTCCAAAAAGAGCTTTTGCTATAGACATTTTTTCTTAAATCCACAAACAACTTTTTTATTTAAATATTTTTTTGTCTTATGTTTTCCAAAGTTTTTAACAAAACTTTATTTTAAATGAAAAAAAGCTTTCTACCAAGAAAAATTTTTCTTCAAAAACGAGCTTTTGCAACAACATTTCTTTTATTTTTTGAAACTTTTTCATCTAAAACAGCTTTTTGCCAACAAAACTTTACTACAAAATAGTTTTTTACAAAAAATAATTAAGAAACATTTTCCTACAAAAGTAGCTTTTTCATCAATAAAAAAATTTATGTCCACTGTAAACACTTGCTATTAGTTTTTTTTTTTTTTAACAAAAACGCTTTCATTCAAAAAAAAGAGCTTTTGTAACAACATTCATCATAAATTCTATTCTCTTTTTTCAAAAAAGAGCGGAAGTTTCCTTCAAAAAGTAGCTTTCGCAACAAACACATCTTTTTCTATTAAACTCATAATATAATTTTTCATTTTAAACAATTGTTTGTTAAAGACAACTTTCAAAAACATCATTTTTTTTAAACATAATTAATAATTATTTTTAGAAAACTTTTTACTAAAATTATCGACGAATGCAAATTCTCTAGCAAAACATTTTTTTAAATTTATTATCACCATAAATAGTAAAAGTAACCCAAAAAAACTTTCTAATAAGAAAAGCTTTTTCATCGAATGTTTTTTTACAAAAAAAAAAAAGAAAACCCATTTTCTTCAAAATAAAAGAGCTTTTGCAACAAACTTTTGATTGCAAGCAGATTTTCTTCAAACAAACCCTAAGAATTGAGCTTTTGCTGCAAACATTTAATTTAAATCTGTTTTATTCACCATATAATTTATATACTTATTTTTCAAAAAGTTTTCTCTTTCTCAGAACATTTTTTTTAATGAATGTAAATTTCAATCAAGAAAAGCTTTTAAGATTTTACTTAAAGCGTTATTGTTGTTTAAATGCTTTTCTTACCAATATCAAAATTAAAAAGCTAATTTTTCCACTAAAAAGCTGTTTTTACTTAAAAAAATTCAAAAAGCTTTTCAGGCAAAAAAGTTTTATTAAGCTTTTACCAAAATGCTGTTAACTTAAAGTTTTTCACTACTTTTTGCTTAAAAGCTTTTCCACCAAGATAATTTATCAAAAATATTATTTATTTAATAAAAGCTCATTTTTATTTAAAAAGACGTTCACTTTTTGTAAAAAAAGCTTTCGAACAAATTTCTTCGCACCCATTTTATCTTAAAATTTGTATTTTTTCCAATTCAAAAAGCTTTTCGGCCAAAAAGTTTTTTAAAATCTTTTTACCAAAATGCTGTTAACTTAAAGTTTTTTGCTTAGTTTGTGTTTAAAAGCTTTCCAACTAAAGATAATTTACCAAAAAGATTTTTATTTAATAAAAGCTAATATTTACTACAAAAAATGCTCAATTTTATTAAAAAATAACTTTTCACTTTTTATAAAAAAGCTTTCGGACAAATAACTTGACACCCATTTTAACTTTCAAAAGCTTTTCGGTCAAAAAGTTTTTTTTAAATCTTTTTACCAAAATGTTGTTAAGTTAAAATTTCTTACTAGTTTGAGTTTAAAAGCTTTCCAACTAAAGATAATTTATGAAAAATATTTTTTATTTAATAAAAGCTCAATTTTACTACAAAAAAAACTTTTCACTTTTTTTAAAAAGAAGCTTTCGAACAAATACTTGGCATCCATTTTAATTTAAAGTTTGTATTTTTTCGGATTCAAAAAGCTTTTCGGTCAAAAAAGTTCTATTAAAAGCTTTTTACCAAAGTGCTGTTAACTTGAAGTTTCTCACTAGTTTCTGTTTTAAAAGCTTTCCCACCAAATATTATTTATCACAAATGTTCTCTAGTTAGTAAAAGCTCATTTTTACTACAAAAAAACTTTTCACTTTTTCTAAAAAAAGCTTTCGAACAAATACTTAGCACCCCATTTTTACTTAAGATTTGTATCGCGTCTCTGATATTCTGATATAATTTCGACGAAAGATATAATTTCGATGTTAGATAAATTGTTTCAGCGTTTTACCGTCCTCATGGCTAATACTTTATATAAATTTATAAATTTATATAAAAGCTAATAACAACATCATTTTTAATTAATTTTTTTATAATAATTTTTTTTCGATTTATTTTTATTAAGTAGTATTAACAATTACAAAATACAAAAACATATACATTTAAACCTAAACATGTGATAAATTCCTTTTTTTCGTCTTCTTCATCCTCGAGAGAATTTTCAAAAAGCCAAATTCTAAAAAAAAAAATTGTTCTAATACTCAGTCTTCACTTCAGTTCAATAACTGAATTATTTTAGAAGAAAAATTTTGCAGCGGGAGCCTCATAGTGATAACCATCTTCCTGCAAAGTTTCGGGAACAGGTTCAGGCTCTGGTTCGAGGGGAGCAAGCATCATATGAGGGAATGGGTATTTTGAAAGTGGGTTTGGGAGCGGGAGGCAATACTCAGGAGCAGGAGGCAAGTAAGTAGGTTGTGGTGGTGGTGGAGGAGGAGGTGGTAAGTAAGTGGGTTTGGGTGTTTCAGGACGTGGTGTGGTAGTAGTGGTAGTGTTGTGGTGGTTACAGGTTTAGGTGGCAAATAAGTGGGTTTTGGTGGTGGTGGAGGAGGCAAGTAGGTGGGTTGTGGAGATGGTGGTGGTGGAGGAGGAAGGTAGGTGGGTGCTGGTGTAGCTTTAGTAGTGGTTGTTGTTGGTTTAGGTGTAGTGGTAGTAGTGGTGGTAGTTGTAGTTGTTGTGGTAGTTGTGGGAGGAGGCAAGTATGTGGGCACTGGCTTGGGGGGCAAGTAAGTGGGCTTTGGTGTTTCAGGAGGCAAGTAAGTAGGCTTGGGTGTCTCTGGCGGCAAGTAGGTGGGTTTGGGCAATTCTAATGGTTGTTCTGGCTTGGGATAATCATAGCCATATCCATGAGCTGACGCCTCTTCATGAGGATAATCATAACCATAACCATGAGCCGATTCCTCTTCATGATGATGTTCGTGATGTTCATGATGTTCGTGATGAGGATAACCATAACCCTGATCAAGTTCGTTATTAAAAGATGTGACACATCAGCAGCCACTAAGGCGGCACTTGCCAACAAGACCAGCATCAATTTCTAAAAATAAAGTGTATAAATTTAATTAATTTAATTTTATTTCTTTCTAAAGACATTTCTTTTAAAATTCTTACCATTATGATGTTTTTAATTTATCTCTCCCTCTAGTTAAATTAACACTAATAAAACAACTACTTTAGTCTTGGACTGTTAAAATCAAAATGATATCTGTTGTTGAGTGAATATTGTTATTTATAGTTCATACACACTTTGAACACAATTTTTAAATATGTTCTTTTTTTTTGCTGCTGTTAATTCTCTAGTTTAAACTTTTTTCTATAATATTTTAAGAAGAAAAAAAAAATAAAACAATAACAAGGCTGCTGTGAGTGTAGCGACTAGACCATACCATTTTCGAACAGTTTGAAAAAAAAAAGTAAATAAATAATATTTACTCACATCATATAATTTCATAAATACAAATACAACAGGTCTTCTGCATGTGTGTTTTTTAGTTATTTATGTTTATAACTAAAAGACACTTAATATTATTGTTGAAAAAAAAGTAAACCTGGCTAATAAGCTTGTTTACAGTTTGCTACAATTTTTAATTAAAACTCAACCCATATCTATTTTTGCGGTTGAAGAATTTTTTATTTTGATGCTCAGAATCACAATTTTTTTCATTTTAACAAGAATTAAAATTTAATTCGATTACTATTTTTTTCTTGCTACATAAATAATTGTTATGTAAATTTTAGGGGTCAATATAATATTAGGGGGTAAGCGGAAATTTTTGGAATTTTACAAATAGCTTAAAATATTCAAATGACTAACTAATTAACTACTAACTAACTAACTAACTACCTAACTAACTAACTAACTAACTAACTAACTAACTAACTCTAACTAACTAACTACTAACTAACTAACTAACTAACTACAACTAACTAACTAACTAACTAACTAACTACTAACTAACTAACTAACTAACTACTAACTAACTAACTAACTAACTAACTAACTAACTACTAACTAACTACTAACTAACTAACTAACTACTAACTAACTACTAACTAACTACTACTAACTAACTAACTAACTAACTAACTAACTAACACTAACTAACTAACTAACTACTAACTAACTAACTACTAACTAACTAACTAACTACTAACTAAACTAACTAACTAACTAACTAACTAACTAACTAACTAACTACTACTAACTAACTAACTAACTACTACTAACTACTAACTAACTACTAACTAACTAACTAACTACTAACTAACTAACTAACTAACTAACTAACTAACTAACTACCTAACTAACTAACTACCTAACTAACTAACTAACTAACTAACTAACTAACTAACTAACTACCTAACTAACTAACTACTAACTAACTAACTAACTAACTAACTAACTAACTAACTACTAACTAACTAACTACTAACTAACTAACTAACTAACTAACTAACTAACTAACTAACTAACTAACTACTAACTACTAACTAACTAACTAACTAACTAACTACTAACTAACTAACTAACTAACTAACTAACTAACTAACTACTAACTAACTAACTAACACTAACTACTAACTAACTAACTAACTAACTACTAACTAACTAACTAACTAACTAACTAACTAACTACTAACTAACTAACTAACTAACTAACTAACTAACTAACTAACTACTAACTAACTAACTAACTAACTAACTACTAACTACTAACTATAACTAACTACTAACTAACTAACTAACTAACTAACTAACTAACTAACTAACTAACTAACTAACTAACTAACTAACTAACGAACTAACTAACTAACAACTAACTACTACTAACGAACTAACTAACTGAACTAAACTAACTCACTAACGAACTAACTAACTAACTAACTAACTAACTTACTAACTAACTAACTAACTAACTAACTAACTACTACCTAACTAACTAACTAACTAATCAACCAACCAACCAACTAACTAACTATCTAACTAACTAACTAACTTAATAACTAATTAACTGTTAAAACAATCCAGCTTATAATAAGATCAACTGGAGCTTAAGAAACTCCCCTAGGAAACCAAGGGTTTAAGCTAAGTTTCAGTTAAACATCGAGTGATAATTTTTTAAATAAAGTATTTGTTTTCCATACTTCAGAAGCATTTTAATAATTTGTTGACAAAAAGAAAATTTTCTAAAAGAGGTGTTATATGGCAGGCAGGGGGTTAATATGGTTCTATCTTTATAAATTTTGGTAGACGGATTTACGTCTACATCAGTTATTTATGCAGAATATCATCGTGGTATTAGTGTTTATAAGTGAATTTTTACCATCAAGTCATTTCTGAAGGGGACTTTGTATGGGGCATAGGGTCAAATGAGGCCTGATCAGTAGTATCATTAAGACTTATATAAATCTAAGTTTTGCAGATTTTTGAAGTGATACAAGAACATTTAACATATTTACGAACTCAAAAGACCTGTTCGGGTGGTACGGTTGTATGGTCTTCGTCCTTGGGTCAGAAGAAGAGTATGTGCCAAATTTTATTAAATTATCTTGAAAATTGCCTGTAGAGTGCGAACATGGGCACACAGACGGGCGGACATAACTTAATCGACTCAGAAAGTTATTCTAAGCCGATTGGTATACTTTAAACATCATCACAAACGCAAAATACCCTCCCCACTATAGTGTTGTAGGGTATAATTAGGATTTTAAAATTATTGATGGTTGTTTGCATAATGGATTATGTACCTTATTTCGACGAAAGCTGGAGAAAGTGTTCCAACGATTCACGGTTATTCTATATTAGTTTTATTGTACAGTTGAGCCCATAGAAGAATACATTAACACCATATATGACCGAGTTCATATAATCTACAGAAATTGTCGAGAAATGTGAGATATTGATCTTGGAGATCTACGAAGAAAACCCCTTAAACAGAATATACTGTCATGTTCTTCATCAAAACACTAGTTCCCTGGTGGAAGTCCGTGTCATCACGATTAGATGCGATATTACGCCACCAGATGTTAACACATTTAGTACAGTAAAAGATCCATAACCGATTTTAATAGGTAATGAAAGAAAGAATGAATGTATTTATTATTAATGGAAGGAAGCTTGAGGAAGTTCACCTGACGAATTTTTTATATACCAAATTAATATTTTTGCTCTTAACTATAGAGCATTTTAAATTCGTTCATTACACAATACTTTCTTATTTTTGAAATAAATATAAATGATGCGTAAATGAATTAGTTTAAATTAAATACATATATGTATGTATTTAATACAAATAAATAAAAAAATGATGACAAAATCGAAAGCAATCAAATCTAATTAATTATTGGACAAAATGTGGAAACAATCACTTTTAAAATTTGACATCATATACAAGTTAGAACAAGTTAACAGATGTAGTTGAGTTTTTTAAACTTTAAAAAAAAAAATAGATCAATTCTAAAATTAACTTAATGAGTGAAAAGTTAGCAGAGAAATTTAAAAAAAATGTAAGTTAATGAAGGATTTTTTTTGTAATTAAAGTATAAATATAAATATATTGGATTAAATGAACTTTTGATTAGTGTTCTATTATCTTTTATATCTATAGCTTTCATACTCGTGTTTAATTCTATGAAAGTTAGTTATCATTTGTATTCTGGTTCATTTTTTGTCAATTGAAGGTGTGTTTTTTTACTGTTTTAATTTTGTGTGATAAAAATCTATTTAATTATGTTTATATGTTAATAATTTACGAATAATTATAAAAAGTTTTAAATTGTAAACATAACAAGTTTTTATGGCAGCTGCACCTGGGACCTATACGCCACCCTCTCTCTATTTATGTTTGAGTAAGTGATTAATAAGTTTAAGAATTAAGTGCTTTTTTAGTTCCTTTACGATTCTAATCCATGAATATACTTTCCAAAAAGTTTAATGAGCAATAATAGTACTTTTAAAAATAGTAGTAGAAAAAGTACTTTTTTATTTTATGGACAAATTTTGTGTTTTTATTATAAATATACTGAATATATGAAAATATGTTTTTTAAATAAAAGTGCTAAAAACAACAGCCGGAAAAATAGTAGCAAAAAAAGTACTTTTTTATATTCTAAAAAAAATTATTGAAAACTTATTTTAATTTTCTTTCTGTTAATGATTTCATTGAAAAAGCAAAAAAAAATTAATTAAATGAAAGCACTAAATAGTACTGGAAAAAATAATAGTAAAATACTTTTTTTATTATATCATATTTATGTGTTTTTGAAAATTAGACGTTTTTTGGCTGTAAAATACTATAAAACAATAAATGTTATAGATTGTATTAAAATAGCACAAAGAAAAATGGTAGTAGAAAAAAATACTTTTTTATATAAAAAAATACTCTTTTTTAGAAAAACCATACATTTGGGATAAAAATGTATTTTCTTTTTTGCGAAAAGTACCATTTTTAAAAAGCAAAATTTTAAAAATAGTAGTAGAAAAAGTACTTTTTTTATTTTGTGGAAAAATTTCGTGTTTTTTTTTGAAAATAGTATGTTTTTTAAAAAAAAGTACTAAAAATAGCACGCGGAAAAATAGTAGTAGAAAAAGTACTTTTTTATATTATTACAAAATTAATTTAAAAAATATTTTTTACTTATTTCTGTTAATGATTTTATTAAAAACAAAGTTTTTTAACTAAATAGTACTAATATAGTATTTGAAAAAAATAGTAGTAGAAAAACTACTTTTTTCAAAATTAGAAAAATATGTGTTTTTGCCTAAAAATTTAAATTGAAAATTAAAAGTAACAAAATTGTTTGTTAAAAAAAAATAGTAGTAGAAAACTAAAGGTATTAATATATCACATATCAAATAGTAGTAGTAACAGTACTATTTTTATTTTTACAAAATTTCACCTTTTTAAATAAAAATAAACATTTGGGATAAAAATAATAAATGGTTTTTACTTAAAAGTACCAAAGTATATTTAAAAATAGTAGTAAAAAAGTACTATTTTCTTTTTAAGGAAAATTTGGGGTTTTTGGCTGAAAAAT